GCTTATTACGTGGCCGTTTTCTGTATTGTCCGATCGAGGCTACATAAGGAGCAGCGAAGGCTATTCAGAGTTAGTCCTCGAGCTACCTCCGAGAGTTCCGAGTTAGCCAGCAACCAGTCAGTTGCATTTGTGATACTGCAAATAGCAGTAATTGTGAATCTGTAATCTGGGTGATTGTAAGTGCGAATGTGAAATAAAATTCGCTATATCAAATACGGCGTGAAGTTATTTGTCGCGTTATACGCCCAACACGTGACAATATATTATACCAACCACTTCACAAGCGTGCAATAGAAAGTTATTTATTATTATTATTATTATTTATATAAATTTCAGGAGTAATCTGTTTGTTTTTTAAGCTGATGACACAAGCATGTAGTAGAAACATGTAAGAAAAGCAAAGTTTTTATTACAGGCTTGTGAGACCGTTGGTATGCTACACGCATATCCTATGCAAAACACAAGCAGGCTGCAGGTCTACAAAAAGGTAAAGTGGGATACAAAAGAAAAACTATTTCCCTGCTATGACATCGATTCTCTTGGACATGCATATTTACTGTTGGCACGTATGTAAATCATACATACCCATTCCAGTGCCACAAGAATATAGAGAACTGGTTCCTGGAGATTGTAGTGTAGCTCCTACTTTCAAGTTTCTTCACTTGCAAGTGTACCATGGCTTACGTCTTCTGCATTTGTCGCTGGTTTGCCCTTCTCAGCGGCTTACCGTGTCACTGCTGTCAAATCAAAAAGCAGTATATCGCTAAAGCTCAACAGAATTAACACACAAACTAATAAACTAAACGTGCGGAAACGGGAGAATGAGAACAAACAAACAAAAACGCTTAGAGCTTTAATTCACGGCACATTTATTATTATTATTATTATTATTATTGTTGTTGTTGTTGTTGTTGTTGTTGTTGTTGTTGTTGGAGGGGGTGGGTGTCCCTATGCACCGCGACCAGTGGTCTATTGTACGTCCCCCTGTGATATTCTACCAGTCTCTATACCCTACCGATACTGGTGTGTGCCATCAGTCCCGACTCAGCCAGCGAGTTCGGCCTCTACTGGCTCAGCGGTATCTAGATGCTTCCCCCATCTACCAGAGGCGTTAGAGACTATTGTCCTTTATAATTTGGCTCAGAGGCCTCCTTGAGGCATGAGGTTCTTTTACGTGCTGTAAAACTACGACACGGGACCCACGGCTTAAAATCCGTCCCGGAGGACTTGTTCCCTGAATTTTTCCCCCATTAAAAATTCCACGACCTCCTCCGGGTTTCAACCCACGTACCTTGAGTCATGAGGTGGGAACGTTACCCCTAAACTACGGAGGCCGCTCATAGCACCTTTACTCAGTGTATTTCGTATGCTCCTCATTATGTGTGGTTTATTTAGCGACTGTCTCAGCAGCTCAGACAACAGAATGTCGAATGGGAGAGTACAGAAGAAATCAGAAGGTATCTGGAAGGAAGCGTCTGTTGCCTACGTTGAAGTGTATCCCGGGTTTAGCCTGGAGGGACGAGGAAAACACGGAAAGCCTCAGTCATGGCGGCTGATCTCCGCGCAGAATATATGAACTCGAAACCTCCTGAATAAGGCCGAACAAGGACAAGGTCTATTCTTCAGAGTGTGAAAACACACGAGTCTTGTTCATTGACGTCACCTTCTGCTCCAATGCTTTTGGAGGAATTTTACGTATTTGCTCAATTTTGTTATTCTAAAGGCTTTAATATTTGTGGAAAAGTGAAAGTTTTAAAGAATATTATAATGAATGACAGGTTCATGAATAGTTTCATTCAACGTGCCTTTCTTAAGGCGAGGGCAGAGTTCTGAGATCACAGTGCTGTTTGTGTTTTGCCCATTTCAATTTTTGAAAGTTTTAACCAGTTTTAATTAAAAGTGATATGGGTGTTATGGCACTGGATGAGATCCCAACTTGAACTTTGTAATTTTCTACAATCTGACTTATTCTTTATGTCATTGAGTGAGCGTAATGGGACCCTGTAACAGGTCGGCCATGAGTATGAGAATGAGGGTTGAGCCATAACACTGGCCCTAGCACTGCGACCTTCAGATCTACTGTGCTTCCCCTTTCGATTAACCCTATATTAATCCTAAACTCAGAATGAAATGTAGGACTTTGTTTACGAGGGCGTCATAAAAGTCACTTGGTTCCATGAAGAATCGACCCAGATGGCGATATCTTAAATAAGCTATAGCCTCACCATCACATAACGCGTGTGTGTGGCTGAGTCATCTTCTTGTAAGCACCTCTCACAAGTTGGGTCCTCTCTCAGTCCCAGTTTGCAAAGGTGTCCAGTAAGCAATCATACCACCCATCTGCGTTGATCTGTGTTTAATTTTAACAGGTCCCTCCTTCTTTTGGCAGAGGGCCCTGATACAAATCCTTTTGCCTGTTTGAGTCCCGTTAAGGAATCCCAGTGTTTTTTGTGATTTCTGTTAGTCCAGTCCGTGATTGCTTTCTTGGCAACTCCAATTGAGATGCCGCAAGGTGGGTCAGGTCCTATGAACGGCTGTTCAGGTCCTGTTATTGCCAGTTGATCTGCGGTTTCATTCCCTGCAATACCCTTATGACCTGGCACCCATGTCAGTTGTACTCTGTTATGTCTGGCTACTTGTGTGAGGAATTGGTGGTAGTTCCAAACCAATTTTCAAGTGATTTGGTGTGTACCAAGTGCTTTAATTGCAGCTTGAGTGTCTGATAGAATATAGAAGTTCCTATCTAAATTATCAACTGCACAGGCCTTAATTGCATACACCTCCACCTGGAATCAGGTCGGCAATGCTCCTTGAATGATATGCAGGCCTGCCATTCACTCGGGCACAAAAATTCGCTCAATCTTGTTCAAGAATTGAAATGATCTAAAGTTCATTTACTTATTCTTACAGCTGCTGGAACATTTACTACCAAGCAGCCCTTAATCCTGGATGTTAGCACATGAGACTAATTCTCTGGTTTCGACAAAGTGGAACTTAGTCTGGCAGATATTTTGGAGGAATTGTTCAACAGCCGATCGACTTATCGCCAGGGCTCTACTTAAGTTAGAAAGCAAAGCATTTAATAAAGCGAACATACCCCCACCCTTCGAGTTGGATTCCAGCTCGTGATCTCAGAATTCGAGCTCTCAAAACGCCTTAAAGTGCCCACTGAATTTGTGCTTCTACGGGATATCACTACATGAAATTCGAGATTATTACAAAAACTCGTCTTTCTCCACACCACACCAATGTTCGTAAAGGCAAAATGTTTTTTGGTTGAATAATACAGTGGAAGATACTTGTTCTTACAGATCACCATGGTTACCCAGCCAGCCTGCTCCAAGTCTTGAGGCAGAATGAGGGTAAGGTTCAGACAGGAAGGTTGCTAGGGCTGGAGAGAAGCTGAAATAGCTATTGGATCATGTCGCTGGTGTTTGCTCAGGATTGCCATGCAAAGTAAAATTGAATTCAAACAGAACATCGCTGTGGAGAAGTAGCTGCTCCCCTAGCCTGGCAGACAGAACAGCTCGTGCGGACAGCTTGGCTTGGCCGTTCTCTGAAAGCCCAATACACAATCGGGCGCTTCGAAGTCTTGCGAATCCTTGTAGTTTCTAATACATTGGCACACCAATAGCGAGGGAATGGAACAAAGAGTTTTCTACAAAACTGATTTTTTTCCCTAAAAATTTTTTGTTACTGGGATGCAGGGACTTGTCGTTTATCTGAAACTTAGACCATTAAAATTATCTTCCTGAACTAGTGTCTAAAGTAGGCCTACTAATTGTTACCGAAGTTAATTCTATCTTGTACCCATGCCTCTTAATTCGAACATCTCAAGCATTTGACAAAAAAAAAATATTTTTACAATAAATACCATTATTTGAAATTATGTCATAAACTGGTCATTTACATTATTACACCCTACAATTAATTGTATGGTTAATAGCTCTGAAAAAAAAATATGATACAGCAGTTGTTGCTTTAGAAAAAAGAACTGCTAATCTTTCAAATTCCTCCTCCTCCCTCATCTTCTTAACGGATTAGGTCCTCTGGTTTGTTCTAATTCACAACTAATCCTCGAACCCATTAATACTTTGCATAATGTGGAGAATTCCCAGGACAGAATATCGGTGTGTTAGTCTATACACAAAAACACAAATACAGAAAGAATGCAAACATGTGTTGAGTGGGGTTTGAACGAAAAATCCCAGTGTTCGAGTTGTCGAAGATATTCCTAACATTAGGTTAATTTCAATCTTTTTTTCGTCGAAATTAATATTCACTTACTAATCCCAGTTTTTCATAGATACCCAGTGGTGCCATTGAAGCCATAATGGAAAAGACGAACAATCTCGTTAATTAAGGCTTAAATGCTGACTTGTTGTGGCAAGAAATGTTAAGTCTCTGAAGACTGGTTTTGCATGTCACAACATTAGAGCAGAATTCCAACTCTACGTGAAAAACATATGTTAAGGAAAGATGGATGACTTATCACAGGATGTGAAGCTCGAAAATCTAATTAAATGGTTAATATTTCATGTTGTAAGCGACAGTTTTTGAGTAAATTTCAACGACAATAGAAATGGAGACCACTTGTAAATTCTGTGTTAAGCAAGCGAGACGCTTAAAATTGAAGGAAAATAAGGAATAGAGAAATTCAGGAAATCCGGACGCGAAGTGAAATAACATAAGGAATCAGAAGAATGTGGAAAAGAAGTGCTGAATAGGAAAAGAGAGAGAGAAATTCGGAATTTCGAACTGTGAAGAAGTGGAGTAGAAGAAAATGTAATGCGGAAAGAAAATCGCATAAGATTCAATAGGGAAAGCGTGGAAGTGAGGTGAAAGCGACAGAGCAATGAAACAAATCCGAAATTGTAATATGATTAAAAGGAGTAAGAGTAAATGATACCTATAGGATATTGGTGGGAAAGCCAGACGGAAAGACCAAGGCGTAGGTGGGTGGACAATATTAGAATGGATCTTAGAGAGATAGGATGGGATGGTATGGATTGGATAGATCTGGCTCAGGATAGGGACCAGTGGAGGGCTCTTGTGAACACGGTGATGAATTTTCGGGTTCCATAAAATGCTGGGAAATTCTTGAGTAGCTGCAGAATTGGCGGCTCCTCAAGAAGGGCTCAGCTCCATGAGTAAGTAAGTAAGTAAGAGCGAATGTAAAGGAATAACCGAAACAAGAGATACAATAAGAGAAAAGAGCGCAAGAAGAAGAATTTATGGAGAATTAAGAAAGTTTAGACCATAGGAGAAGAAGCTGCAGGTAAGGAAGATGGTGAGATAGGATGAAATGAAGAAGGAATAAGCAAAGATGTGAAAGGAAAAAGAGGAAATTAAGGCGGCAAAAGGAGGGGAAGTGGAGGAGAAACAGCAGGCGTGGAATTAATTATAAAATACATGAAAGCCAAACACGAGATAGGAAGATCACAAGAAACTGAGTATATGTAAGAGGCGTAAGAGAGGATATGAAAATACAACGAAGATGCAGGGGAAGCTGTTGGGAAGTGGATACCACGTCACGAAGAGCTGAAACGAACACTTCTCCAGAACAACCAAGGTATGCAGAAAACGAGTGAACCTGGCATTAGCAGTCGGCCAAGCAAGCAAGCAGAATCCGTCCTCTACACACACTTGCAGACACAGCTCTCGGAACGAGATGTCCCACTCAGATACTCGGAGCGGCAACCAACGCGCTACGCCTTCCACAACGGGGCATGTGTAC